CTGCTCGCCCTCACTCCCCCGCCCGGCCCCATTATGGTCCCCGCTGCATTAAACCCTCCCTGTGCCCCGACGGCGGCTGCTGGCACCGGGGGTTGGTTGGGGCGGGGGGGGGGGGGGGGGTGTTTATCCCCCCCATTCCCAACACCTGACCGCAAGGTCAGGACGAGCCATGGCGGCGGTGATGGGCTCGGGCCGGCAGCTGCTGCGCCGGGGCGGGCACACAGGAATGCACCGCGGTGGCTGGGTCCTGCAGATGGGACCTGGCGGGGGTTGGACCCCCGGGACTCAGCTGGTGCAGGAGGATGGGGGATGTTGAGCTTGGGGGGGGGGGAGTGGAATAACCCCCCCCCCATGCCGGCGCTGTGCATCCATGGGAGCGTGGCTGATTGATGTCAGCGGAGGTCTGGGCTTGCGGCTGCTTGTCGGGAGGATGGAGCTGTGGGTCTCTGCTGGCGCCACGTTCAAGTGTGGGTTCAACACCCCCCCCTCCAGCCTGCACTTTCCAGAGTGATCCCAGTGCCCCGGTGCTGCTGCTGGGGTATGCTGATCCCAGCCCACGTCCCAGCAGCTGCTGGTGCAGGGAATGGGTGATGCCCTCCTGCCTGTCCCAGTGCTGGCCCGACTCTCCTGTGTAACAAACCTGGGTCCAGGCAGCTCTGCCTCTGCTCTCGCTGCCACCAACCCTGTCCCCTGCACCCCCAGTGCTGGGAGGACATTGCATGAGGCTGCTGTGGGGTGCAGGATGCTTACAAGGGGATATACAGGAGGTGATGGGGATGCTCCTCTCCTCCTTCCCATGCCAGGATGCCATGCAGCAGTTCCCTGTCCCCCCTCGACCCAACCACGCATCTGCCAGAGACGGGCAGCAAATAAATCAGGTCTTGTTTGTTCTCGTGCCTGAGCTTGGTGTGTGGGTTCAGTTTAAAACGTTCTGCCTTAAATTACAGCCTAATAAATCAATACCCACTTTAGCGATGCAGTGTGCGCAAGGGAGTCAAGTTGCCTCCATGGATCTTGGGCTTCACGAAGGCCGAGGGAGTGAGTTCCAGCAGGATCCTGTCCTGGGATGTGTGTGCACGGCCAGGACACTTGTGGGCACGGTTGGAACATGCATGTGTGTGGCTGGGACATGTGTGTGTCACCGCTGTGCATGGCCCAGGCATGCATGTGCGTGGTTGTGCATGGCCAGGATGTGCGTACACATGGCAGAGCATGGCTGGGACGTGCATGAGCATGACCAGAACACACGTGTGCATGGCAGGCGTGGCAGGGATAGATGTTAGGGCAGCATGCGCTCTCAGCTGCCTCATGCAGGGTCTTGGGCAGCCTCAGAGCTAATTCCAGCCCTGTCAACTCCTCCGGCATGGGATGTGTTTGGATTCCCCCCCCAGAAGGTGACAATAAGGTTCCCCCATCCAGCCTCTGCCTGGCTGCCCTCTCCCTGCTTGCTCTGCCCCCGCTAACGTCTTTCCCTGAGCATCCTCCTCCCCTTCACCCCTCTGCTCACACCTTTCACTTGTCTAATCCCCTTGTATTTGTCTGGGCTGCCTTCCAGGGCCACCCACCTCTTTATAGGGCCACTGCTAAGTAAACGCTGCCTTTGCTCTGCTAAACGGGGGCTCCTCCTTGGCACAGTTGGGGTTGGTGGGACTGGACGTTTCATGTGCTGCTCGCCCTTCTCCTCCTGCCACAGCACCCTCCATCCTCATCCTGCCCCTTCCACAGGGATTCCAGGCTCTCGGGGCGCCGCAGCCCTCGGTGCCATCGCTGCCTGCTCCTCCCAAAGCCACACTCGGTGATGCCCAAGGACCCTTGTCCTCATTCTTCCCCTTTGCTTGTGTCAAGGCCGGTTTTATCCCTCCCCCTCCTCGTCTCCCTTGCCAAGCCCTGACACTTGATGGCAGCCCATTCAAAATGCATGGGCTCCCCTTTCCAAGCGCCCCGGTCCTTTTGAACTAAAAGGATTTTCTCAGAGGCTAAGTTCAAATGTGTGCCCGTTATTTATTTATCAGCCCGCGATGTATTATTCATTTATTTAAAAATGTATGGCAGCTGGGAGCCCCGTGTTCCATCACCCCATGGGCAGCCAGGGCCAGGTGGAGACAGCCCCTTGCTCCAGCCGTAACCTGGCGCGGTGGCTGCCACCAGCCCAACGGCCTCATGCCTGATTGACCATGAACCCCAACCCCAGGGTGGGCTCAGGGCTGGAGCTGGTGCTTCAAGGAGATGCCAAGGACCTGCTGTGTCCCGGTGCTGCCCGTTGCTGGGGTTAGGTGCAGGGGGTTGGCATCGCTCCTCTCCCCAGCACTGCTGGTTGGCGTTGGGGACGGGGACGTGTCCCACTCACAGCCCCTCCGCTGGCCCTGGCTGCCGGTCCCCAGTGCAAGGATGGAGTGGCCGATGTGGTGCTGCTGTGTAGAAGGGGCTGGCACAAAGATTACAAAGAAAAAGTCAGAAAAAGGAGAAAAATGGCTGTGCTTTGCTTTGCCCAGCACATGGGGAGCTGGGGACACAGCCAGCCCTGCTGGCATCAACTTGTCCCTGGTTGACACAGGGCCCCCTCGCCGGAGGAGCACAAAGGGTTAAGGATGCTTCCCTTCCCCACTAAACTCCTCTTGTCCCCCCCATGAGCCCCCACCACCCTGTTTCTCTGCTGGGACACTCCCTAATTGAGACAGCTTCAGCCCCTGCCTCCCTCTTCTCCCCCTGGGGCTGAGCTGCCTCTTCCCAGGGGGAGCACATTGTCTGCTCCAGCGGGTTGATGTAATCCCTAAGCCCGAACAATACTTCCCCACCCCGCTCCCGTTGAAAGGGTATTAGTTCCCAATGAGATAATTACTCCACAGGCCACCCTAATCATCCCGTCCGCTCTCCCCACGGGCGCTGAGCTGCCTGGCTCAGTCCCACAGCACCCAAGATGCGGGTTCGGGGTCCCCTGGGGTGATGCTGATGGAGATAGTCATCTTATGTGGGCACCCAGCCTCCAAACACCTGCAGCAAAATCAACTGGGGAAGGAGATGTGCTGCTGAGATGCCACCTCCAGCCTCATGGCTGTTGTCACCTCCAAATGCCACCCATGTGTGGGGTGGGAGTGCTGGATGCTGAGCCTGGACTCGCAATGACACTGCCACCGCGCTGATGAAGCACGAGTGGGATGAACCTGCCCCAGCCTAGGAATAAAGGGAAGAGATTCCCGGCTTGGTTTAATGGGAAAGAATCCCAGTTTTCAGCCCTGCTTTGCGCAAGGTTTGCTGCCGCCGGAGGGACCTTGTGCCACGTGGCACAGGCGTGTTGTTAGCATGTAGCTGTGGGCACACGTGTGCACCTGCACACACAATGCTGGCTGCTTGGCTGGGCTGGTGCCAGGGCTGGTGCCAGGGCTGCTTTTCCCTTCCCAGAGCTGCTAGGATGTGGCCGTTGTCTGCAGAGCTCCAGCGCCCCTTGGTTGTCCAATGTGCTGGAATCGGGGATGCCACAGGAAAAGGCACCTGTTCAGGGCTGCCAAAATTAAAGCCTAGCTCTTATTAATCCTGCTCTTTGTGGCTCTGGCTACGCTGAAGTCAGGGATTATCCCACTCGCCTTCCCGCACGCCGGTACAGCAGGATTGAGGCAGCAGGAGAATTAATCTCCTGTAGGTTTTGCTGATCCCATCCCCAGGAATGGTGTGGGGGGATGCAGAGGGGCTGTGGGGCCCAGAGCCAGGACACGGACCCTCTGCCACCCTGGATTTGTGTTGGGTTTGGGGAGGCGGTGTTCAGCAGGATGCTCACGGAGATGCTCCCCAGGATGCTTGCCAGGACCAGGGATGGGGTTGGAGCGACAGGTCCGGCAGCCCCATGGTCACCGAGCTGCACCACCCTGGCTTCCCAGCAAGGACATTTTTCCCCTTGGGAAGAGCGCCGGCAGCACAGGGGCCGTGCAAGGCCAATGCTGCGCGAGGGCCACTGCCCCGCTCCAGCCACCGCTCCTCCCCGTCCCTTTCTTGGTCGATCTCTTCTGACAGACAAACACCAGCTCTTTCTGCACCACAAAGTCCTTGTCCAGCCAAGCACACAAAGCGGATCCATTATCCGATGGGGGACAGAAAGGAGGGGCTGGGGGGGGGGGGTGGCCGCCGCACAATGCGCACAAGTGGTGCGTGGGGCCACCCCTATTGTGTCTGGGCAGGAAGGGCCGGGACCCCCAGCGCGGCCCCCTCAATGGCAGCATTGTGTCTGAGCCCCCCATCCCCTCGGTGTGTCCCCTTGCTGTGTGCCCCCCCCAGCTCCTGCTGCTGTCTGGGGCAGTGCTGTCAACCCACCCTGTGTCCAGTCCCCTCTCGCCATCGGACACCCTTGGGAGTGCTGATGGGGTTGGAGGGGCTGAGTTTTTGGGAGCAAAGTGAATGGGAGCAAAAGGCCTCCCCCCCAGGCAGGGCTGTGGACATGGGTGCTGGGGCCAGCAAGGGCTGAAGTCCTCACTTCCCCATGCCATGGTTTTGGGTGATAAAAAGGCTGATCTGAGGCAGACCAAAGCATCCTGCAGCAGCAGCTGGGGATGGGGGTGATGGCCAAGGGCTCATCTGGAGGGGCTTTGCTCCATCACTCAACACGGAGGGGTTTCCCTCCCCACTGGCTCCCAGGAGGGTTCGGTTCCTCTCTCAGTGCCATCCTGTCTGCAAAAGTGGATGTGGGATGCAGTCCAGGGTGCAACCCAAGGGGTGATGGAGCTGCTCAAACCTCTCTCTAGACCCTAATGGAGAGATCAAACAGAAACCTGTCCCTAAGCAGGGACCCGTGACAGTACCCAGAGCCCAGCAGTGGCCACTGGGCTTGCGGGGTTTGTACATAGATGCAGGTGTGGAAACCTTGAGGTCCTCTGTGCCAGGAGAAACCTTGAAAGCATCACCTTGGCCACACGGGCTGGGGAGGGCGGCTCAGTGATGGGCAGAGCAGGATGGGTTTGGAGGTGAGCACTGTGTCTTTGAAGGTGACAAATGCCCGTTTGATTCTCTTGCAGAGGAGAAATCCCTGTGTTGCTTTGACCTCTGTGGTCCAGCGGCATCCCTCACTGGGAACAGGGATGGGGAGCAGCCAGGCCAGCGTGGGCCAAGCCCTGCAGCACCCTCACCCTGGACATCAAAGGGGTGCCACTGACTGGGCTCCCCTGCCTCTGGGAGCCACCAAGCCAGGCTAATGCTGCTCGCAGCACCCGTTTGCAGCGGCAAAGACATACGTGACTGGTGGAGATGGGCTGGTTTCATACATCCCTGCCCAGCAAGCACAGCGCCTGTGGAACCAGGCAAGGGAAGTGAGCTCCGTTGCCCTGACAATGCTTGGCACCGCTTCACCTCTCCTCTATGGGGTAAGTTTGGGCTTTTCTTGCTTTCCTTTCCTGGCTTTTCCCTGCAAAACCTCCCCCCAGGTTCTCTCCATCCCGGGATTTGGGGAGGCTATGGAGCAGGGCACCCACCATGGCTCTGCATGCAGCTGGCTGCCAGGCTGTGAGGTGCCACCTCGCACTATTATGGGGGAGAAAACCCCAGGATTTTATCCCCATAATTCACTTTTCTCCCCTATTTTCCCTTTTAAACCTTTCCTCTGTGACTCAAAACTATCCTTTTCTATTTCTGAGGGGGAAGGTTCCCCCCTCACCTCTCACTTTGCCCCCGCCATTCCCCCCCACCCCGATCCTCCTGCTCTGCCCATCCAAACCCCAGTTTTTCCACTGCCAGACACTGGATTTAGCTGCACAGGCACCTTCCAGCTCCTTGTAGGAGCCTGTTTTGGGGTGATGGCTTCACCCCAGCCCCGTAGCCACAGCAGCATCACATCCCTGGCTGTCAGTGAAGGGAGGAAGCCCACGTCCCCTGCGGGTCCTCGCTCCTCCAAGTTTCCCCCCGGGAATGCCTGAAACATCAGGAAAAATCCCTTCCACCTCTCCCAGGGTGAGCCTGGCCTGGGTGATGCCCAGCAGCAGCCCTCACGCTTAGGGGTGGTTTTCCATCAGGGGTTTGGTTCACCCCCAGATGCAGGAGGGGGAGATGAGGGATATAATCCCCATTCCCCACCCAAATACCTGTGCAGGAGGGGTTTGGGTATCTGCTTGTTGAGGCTGGATTTTCCTGCTGTTTTGGCTGCTGGCTGGCACCCCATAGGGAATGTGGGGTGCATTCCCATGGGATCACCTTCCAGAGATGGGTCTGGGATGCTCCCATCTCTGGGATAGGCACTGGGCCATATCAATGATGCTTTTTAGGGCACCACCACTGCACCTTGCTCCCCATCTGCAGCTCTCTCCAGCGAATACCTCTGGCAACACTGATCCCAACATCAACCATCGATCTCCCTCCACACAGAGACCGGCACCATCCCACCTGGAGATCCCAGGACACAGGGATGGAGTGGGGACCCCTAACCAAGGGCGAGGCCCACTACTACCCCCAAATCATGACACCCCATAGCATTGAACTGCCTTTCCCCATCCATTCTTGCTTCATGCCTTCTTCTAAATAGCCTCTTCTTCCTCAAAGCGAAACGAATGATGGTCAATGGCGCTTGTTGGTGCTGGCACCCGGCACATCCCGATGGGTGCCCTGAGCAGATGCTCAGCGCCACAGGTGAAGCCACTCTCCTCCTCCTCCTCCTCCTCCTCCTCCTCACTCTAAGATGGCCGGCGGCCCCAAAATGGTGCTGAGCATGAGACGCCATCTGCAAGGCCGGTCCCACGCCCGCCGTGGCCTTTTTATGCAAAGGGGAATTAATTAGATTTGAATATGGTAATGAAGCCATCGAGGTCCCTTCTTTTCTTCAGGCTTTCTTCTCACCCCCGTCTCCGCCGCCCCTTAACCCTTCCCCCTCCGCTTTCTGCACCCAAAGCACCGCTCCTGCATCCTAATGAAACTCCTGGCTTGGTAATGCCATTGCCACCCGCTTTCCCACGCCGGGTTCCATCCATCCTGGGGATGCCAACGGCCCCGGCTTTGCCCCCCTGTGCCCATTGATCACCCCAAAAGCCAGGCACTCGCAGAGGGATGAGGGCAACCACCTCAAAGGAGAAGTGGGGTTTTGGTGGGTGATGGCTGCAACAAGGCATCGATCCCCAAGGAATTCCTCCAAAGCTGGCTTGGGTTGAAGCTTCCCTGATCCTTATATTCCCAATATTGTCTTTCCTTGTTGCTATGGGCTACAGGGGATTTGTGTCCCCCAGGTGCTGCCCTCGGCTGCATGGGCATGGGTGAAGCTGCTTTGGGGGTATTTTGTCAGGAGAAGGAAAAGAATCAAGAATCGAAGGAACTTCCCATGTTCCCAGGAAAGGAATTCTTTTACACTGGGAATTAAAGCTTCTGCCGTTCCCACATTTCTTACATGCACCCACCCAGTCACCCCAACCCAAAAGTGCTGGGTCTCGGTGCACTGAGCAGAGAGCAGAAAACTCCTGGAAAGGGGGATTTGCGCAGGGAAAGAAAATATATCCCTGGAATAGTTTTTATGCATCCATTTATATTTATAAGGAAACTCGGTCTCTTTTTCCCCACTTAGCTCATAAAGCGAAAGAAGGAAATTGGGAATAGCTGCAGGAGCTCATCAGAAAAGCCCCCAGGCGCTTTGTGAGCAAGTTGCTGAGAATTGGAATTGGCTTCTTTAAACCATGGAATGTTTGCAACGGGGTCAGTCCTGGTAAAAACTCTAATTGTACCAGCAAGCTGCTGCCATCTGAAAGCAGGAAAGGGCCAAGGTTCTAGATATACAGACATCTATGGGGTGTGTGCCTGTATGTACCCATGTATGGATCTATATACACTGGGGACCAGTTCCCAGCTCTGCCTCATCCTGGAGCAGGCTCTGGCTCCCTCCTGAGATGCTGCTGGCATCTCCTGGGCTGTATTTCCCAGCCCAGTCTGTGCTGGCAGGCAGGGACCCAGCTTCCTGGGGATGCTGGAGCACTCGTCCCCACTGCCATGGTCCTGCCGACCCCTTCTGGGATGGCAGAGGGGAGAGGAAATAGCCTGGAGAGGGGGAAAAGGGGCAGGGCAAGAGAGAGGGTGAGGAAGGGGGGGGAAATCTATAGAGCAGGGGAGGAAAGGAACGAGTGAGAGGGAGAAATATAACAGAAACCATGAAAACCATGGAAGGGAAAGCGGCAGAGTGGAAGCGGGGACAGGTAACGGAGGGGCTGATGGGCTGACAGACACATCAGGGAGTGATGATAAAGCAGGAGATGGGCAGATAAGAAAGGGAGGAGCCCTGGCAGCGGGGCAGGAGGCAAAGTGTGCTGGCTGCAGAGCCGGTACCCGTGGGAGGATGCTCAAGGCTCCGTGTGGCTCACACCAGGGGCCAGACCAAGGAGGTGGCAATGGAGGCAGTGATGTCCCTGCCGAACTGGCAAGACCCAAAGGTCTACAGCCACACGAGCATCCCCAAATGTCTCAGGAGGCAGGGGACCCGGCCTGGCGGGGCAGGCAGCAGCCCCCATAGCAGGCAGTGGGGCTGTAAATCTCCCTCTTTCGGTGCGGGTGCTGCCCAAAGCTTCCAGCAGGGTTTCTCTCCCCTTCCCGCTTTTCCTGCCTTCCTGCACCGCCACGTGGATCCCCGGCGGCAAGGGAAAACAAGCGAGGATGCTTCTTTTGTCTCTGCCGCCCGGCCGGCCCCGGCTCTCCAGCCCTAATCCACCTCCCTCCCTTCCGCAGCTTTCTTCCCATCTCCGCTGTGGGAGAAAAGGGACGAACCTTTTCCTTGTTTTAATTGGGAATTGCAGAACTCAGCGCCGGGAGGAAGGAGGGATGGAGGCACCCCAAGAGTCCCAGATAAGCCCCATGGGTTTCACCTCCCCGAGCCCTTGCACGATGCCCACCCCGGCTCACTGCTACTCGTTATTCCTGATCCCCCACAAGCCATTCCTGCCCCTTCTGTGCGAAGTGAAATGATGAAACTAGAAGTGATGGGTGCGCTGGTGAGAGCTCTGCACTGGGGGAGAGAGCGGGGAAAAGGGGGGGAAGGACGGGGAGAGCTTAAAAATTACAGTGGGAATTAGCAGGAGTCTAAGCTGTTGTTTGCGCTGCCCATTAGCAGCTGCCTATTTATCTGTCACCAGATCCTCGTGGCATCTATCCATCCATCTGGATCCTTGTCAGTCTGTCTGCCTATCTAATTATCCATTAGCATGGCAAAGCCCTCCTGACAGCGGGCCCTTCCAGGCAGACGTGAGCCCCCCATCAGCTGCCCTTCACCCTCACACCGATGCTTTTATGAGCATTCCCGACACAGGAGCAAAACCCCGCTCCCACACCTCACAAAACAATGTGTTATGGATGGGCAGGGAATGCTCTGCAAGGCTGTGGGATGCGGATGCATCCAACGGCAATGCGGGAAAGCCAGGCTGGAGCAGGGAAGTGCTGGGGCTTGCATGGAAGGGGTTGTGTGTAGGGTGTTCGTTGTGTCGGGCTGCGTGTCCATGCCATGGGGTATGTGCGTGCCACACGCTTCGGCTGCTCACGGATGCTCCATCTCACCCGCGGGAAGCGATCCCGGAGGCCTCTCCGAGCGCGGGCACTGCCATGGGCAGCGCCGGTGCCGGCGGCTCTTTGTGCCCGCGCCGCTGCAATGGGGTTTCTTTGTTCGCGGTGCTGGGCAGGTTCCCCCTCCCCATGGCCACGGCCACCGAGGAGCAAATCAGCAGCGTTTGCATATTCAGAGCAGGTGGGGGCCCATATGCCCAAGATGCACCAGACAAAATTAGCCACCATAATCATAATCAAGTGTGCCGTTGTGCTGGGGGAAGGGCAGCCTGGCAGACAAGCCTGATAATTATGAAGCTCAGCATGTGCACAGCAGTTTTCCAACAATTATGCCTAGCTCAGCATGCCGGGAATGATGCTTGTTACAACCACCCTCCATTGCCCACCGGCAGCTCGCTCCCGGGGGGCTCTGCCAGCTTCGGCCCTTCTGAAGGGAAGGGAGCAGGAGGCTGGCAAGGAGCCTTGTTCAGATCCCATCCCGCTGCCCTTCCCAATGCATCCAGCCCTTCTCAAGCAGGTTTGTGGCTTGGTGGCAGCCGTTGCTTGAGCGTCTGCCTGTGTCCCAGCCAACTTCCCATACCCTCCTCTTGCAGCTAATCCCTCATTTCCCAATTAGACTAAACCTACGGCGCTCGAAGCATCTCCAGAAACCATCTCCCCCAAGCCCCATCTGCACCCTGCTTCTCTTGCCCTGTATGGGGAACACCACAACCCCTTCGCATAAAGGAGTCCTGTGCTCCAGCTTCAGCAAATATCCATTTGCAGTTCCCTCCCAGCATTTTCCCTTCCCCATCCTCCTCTGCTCACCCCGCTCTTTGCCGGGTGCATTATCTGCTCTGCAGGCTGG